ACACACACACACACACACACACACACACACACACACACACACACACATTCTGTCTTTCCAACTACTAAAGGGGATGCTAAGTGAATATAGTAGTGTTGTTTTTAAAAGATGTATAAATGTCTTTGTGTGGGTAAATACTTGTATGTGTAAATGCCTGAGAAAGAAGGCTGGAAGTGAGTATCGGATGCCCTGGAGTGAGAATTACAGGTACTTGTGAGTGTCCCAGTATGCGTTCTAGGAGCAGACTTGGGTCTTCTGCAAGAGCAGTATGGACTATTAACTGATTAGCCACCTCTTCAGGCCCTATGAATGTAGTGTTCTAGACGTATTAGTCAGGGTTTCTTAGAGAAAGAACCAGGAAGGGGTCAGAGAGGGAGAGGCTTTTGTGATGGGAGCTGGCAACCAAGTAGTTTGGGGGCAGGTTGGCAGGTTGGAGTCTGAGGCTGAATTTCTTCCCTTCCTGGAAACCTCAGTCTAAAAGGCCTATAGCCAATTAAGGTAATCCTACATAATGAAAAGCAATCTTAAAATCTGCTCTATTCAGATGTCCTGATTTAAATGTTAATCACATCTAAAATCCTTTTAGAAAAGCATTTAGACTAGTATTTGTCTAGGTATCCTGCTTAACACATAAAATTACCTACCAGAATCTATTATCTATCTATCTATCTATCTATCTATCTATCTATCTATCTATCTATCTATCTATCTATCTAACTAACTATCTATCTATCTGGCATACATACACCTTTAAAAAAAAACAATACTGACCTTCAAATAAAGTTCATGCTTTTATCTAAAATGGTATAACTTTTCTATATAACCTATCTTCTTAGTAGAAGAGGATGCAAAACCATTGTGTAAGATGTACTAAAACATAAATACCAAGGTATAAATCTATACAGCTATAAGAGAGTATATATAAAAAGGAAGAAAAAGATGGTTGTTTACTGTATACTACCATACCCACACAGATGTATATATTTTGCACATATGAAGACATTTGTAGCAGTCCCTTAAATACTTGTTTATTCAGGAAACAGTCTTGCAACATTGGAAATAGTTGTTTTTCCAATCTTAAGCATAATGTTGCATGTATTCCTTTGTGGGAGTTCTTTAGTTTTGGGACATGGACTCACTGTGTAATAGCTAGTGTTAAATTCTCTACCACCCTGCCTTAGCCTTTTCTGTGCTGGTTAGGCATGTGCTGTCATCACACGTGGCTCTCTAATGAGAAATTTTCAACTGTTAGAGCTTGTTTATGAGCCAGATAGTATTTCTAAAACTCAGGGCAGATTTCTTTATAATTCATCTTATTGACTATAACATTTCTTAAAGTTTGTTTCATTGTAATGAATGTCTTAAGAGAATTAACTGCTGATACTGAGCATAGATTCTGAAACAAAAGTCCCAATAAAACAAGAACATGGGAGGAAACAGAAAAATTTAAGACGAACAGTAGGGATTTAAGGACTCAGTTTTTAAATTTGGCAATGGTTAGAATCTGTGGTTTCTGCAAGACCACCACCACCTCCTTACTAAGCGTTAGTTTAACATCTCTTATGTGTCAGCCATCAGTTGTAGTGATTAATGTGTATAGAAATACTTAATGCTACCCCATTATTATGCACCATTTTATGCCTCTATAAATCTGTTGGAAAAAGTAAACATAAAAGACAGGTTGTTGACTTTAAGTAGATTATAGTATTAGCAAATAGCCAAGAAAAATATCTACTAGTGATATGAGTTTGGTATGTGATTTAACAGCCTGGGGCTGTGGCATGTCTCAGATAGTAGAGTGCTTGCCTAGAGTGTATAAAGCTTTGTGTTTAATCCTTAACCCCTTGTAAACTGGGTCAGGTGGCCATGCCTATAAGTTCAGTCCTCAGGAATTGGAGGCAAGATCAGAAGTTCAGGATTGCCCCTGGCTACACAGAGTTTGAGACCAGCCTAAGATACATGATACCTGGTCTCAAAAATAAAAAAGAATAGAATAGAAATGATGCAACAGAAATACAGAACAGTTGCTTTAGATTTAGAGGTCATGAAAAAGATCTTAAAAATTTTGTATTTTATTTTATGCACCTGGGTGTTTTATCTGCATGTATGTCTGTACACCACTTGGGTTTCTGGTGACCAGGGAGGTCAGAAGAAGGGTCCCCTAGAACTTGAGGAACAGGTGATTGTGAGCTGCTTTGTGGGTACAGGCGCTTGAACCTGGGTCCTCAGGAAGAGTAGCAAGTGCTCTTAACTGCTGAGCCGTGTATCTAGTCCAGCCTTTAAAATTTCTAGTATTTAGTTTTGATAACAGTAATAGCCAAACATATGCCGAGCTAGGTTAAGAATGATAATCTGCCTATTTTTTTAAATTTATTATTATTTTTATGTACACTGGTGTTTTGCCTGCATGTGTGTGTGAGGGAATCAGATTCGCTGGAACAGGAGTTACAGACAGTTGTGAGCTGCCATGTGGTTACTGGGAATTGAACCCTGGTCCTCTGGAAGTGCAGCCACTGCTCTTAACCACTGAGCCATCTCAACAGCCCCCTAGTATGCCTGTTTTACCATTTACTATGTAAACAGCTTTCTTACTATCAAGAGCTTTTTAATTTTTTTATGTTTTTTATTTTTTTGAGACAGAGTTTCTCTGTTTAGTCCTAGTTGTCCTGAAGCTCGCTCAGTGGACTAGGCTGGCCTTGAACTTGGAGATCTGCCTCTGCCTTATGAGTGCTGGGATTACAGGCCTGTGCTACCACTGCCTGGCTATCATGAGCTTCTTGATAATAGTCTGACATTAGTATGCTTTTACACAGTTTTGCATTAAAGATTTTTATGTACTTGGATAACTTGGAAATATGTGATTAATTTGATATCATTTTATGTTGTCTTTCCACTGAACTAAGGTTAATATTGTGTTATATTTGCTCTTTCTTTGTGATCCAGGGTGGAGTCATTACGTCTGACATGATTGAAATGATATTCTCAAATAGCCCAGAGCAGCAGCTTTCTGCAACACAGAAATTCAGGAAACTACTTTCAAAAGGTAAGTCAGTCTTCAGTACATTTCATCTGTATGTAAGCAGGAATAGATTACATAGAGATGATCCCTTTTTGTACAGCTCCAGGTAATTTCTTTTGGAGTGTGTTTTATGATTAGAAAATTTCCTTAGTTATTTATGGGATCTTATCAGAAAGGAACATTACTTTCATTTGAGAACTGTCATGTAAAAGACTTTTAAGTAAGTAATAATCAATAGCTTATGCTGACTGAAATTGAAAAGCTCCACTCTTTATAAATTACTTGAATGGTAATTAATGATTTTAATAGTAGCAGTTTACCATTTAAAGTTAAATATAGATTTATTGTAGAATAGGATAATTCCTTTTTTTGTGTAATTAGTATGAACTGGCGTATAATACTTGTTATTTTGGGCAGGTAAAAATAATTTGGAACAGTATTAAAATACTGATAGTAAGTAGTGAAACACACAGTAGCAAATTAAATTTATCACCATAACATACATATAAGAAGTGGTATTTAGGGCTGGAGAGGTGCTCAGTGGTTAGGAGCACAGGCTGCTCTTCCAAAGGATCTGGGTTCAATTCCTAGCACCCACATGGTGGCTCAGACCTGTCTGTAACTATGTCTAGTTCCAGGGGATCTGGCATTCTCACATAGGCATACATGCAGGCAAACATCGAAAAAAGTATTTTGTATGACAGTTTGGTAAAATTTTATGTCATGTCCATTTTTAGTGTGGTTTTTCCAAAAAAAAAAAGGCATTTAATGATCACTGCTTTTCCTACATGTATTCTAGTTTACAAGCTTCCTTCTTAAAAGTGTGATAACTATTGCTCTAGATGTGTTTATTTCAGTAATTGGTGGTGAGAAATTTGCTTCCTTGTCCTGAGAAGATATCCATTTCACTGATGGCTTAAGAAAACAGTAGTGGTAATGGCATAGCTAATGTATCTGAATTTTTAGCAAAGAAAACTTTTCTTCATGAACTGTGCTTTGGAATGTTCTAGATTTTTTTTGTTGTTGTTGTTTTGACAAAACTTCTTGGCCAAAAGCAACTTTTTTTATTGCTGTAATAAAACTTAGAGAAGGAAGAGTTTGTTTGGGTCTTATAGTTCTAGATGGTTAGAGTCTGTGATAGTGAAGGAAAGTAGTGTTCAGCAGACTAGAGCAGCAGCTGAGAGCTCACACCTCAAATCATAAAGAGCAAGCAGAGAGCACAAGGCGTGAGTGTTTTGAAACCTCAAAACCTGTCCCCAGTGACATACTATACTTTTTTCAGCAAGGCCACACTGCTAATCATTTTCAAATAGTTATCAGCTGGGAACTAAGTGTTCAGATGTGCAAGACTTAATGTGGAGTAAGTCACCACAGCTTACAGTCCATCGTAGAGGGAGGAAGGAATTGAAGGCAGGCCTGTCTGCTATTCCATGTCAAAGAACACAGTTCATGCAATGAATGAATGAATGAATAAATGAATAAATAAATGAATAAATAAATAAAAATAAAAATAGTGTGGCACATGCTATAGGGATCCTGCTTACTGGCCAGCTTGCCTTCCCACACTGTTCAAGACCACCCTCCTGGAGAATGGTGCTGCACATGCTGTGCGTGTGGCCCTCCTACATCAATTAACAATCAAGATGATCTCCCACAGGCCAATCTGATATAGGCAGTGTTTCAGTTGAAATTCTCAACAGAACCAGATAATTCTAGGTTCTGTCAAGTTGACAGTTAAATCTAATCAGGACAATTAACACATGGATTCTTCTTTTTTATATATATCCTTAAAAAATATAGTGGCTAGGCTAGGCCATCAAGCTGATAAAAATGTTCTGGGCTCCAAGACGGATGAGCTGAGTTTGATCTCTGGAACCCCCATGATGTGAATCAACTCCCATAGATTATTCTGTGACCTCCACATATGTACCATGTCACATGGGTCCACACACAGAGAGATAAGCAGAAATAAATTAGTAAATTTAAAATATATACTAAAAATATACAGTTGTTAAGATGGTTGTGTATTTTCCTGCCACTCTGGGAGGTTGAGGCAGGAATCTCAGAATTTAGGGCTAGCTTGGGTAACATAGTAAGACCACATCTTAAAATATAAACAAAATCACTTGTTCTGACCTTAGAATGTGACTTAATAGTAGACTCATTGCCTGTGGTACACAAGACCTGTACTAACAAACATACAAAAGGTTGTTTTTGTTTTATTCTTCCTGATTTATTGTCATTTTTTTTGTTTTTTTATAGTGTTTTTATAATTCAGAATATTAACTAGTATATCTTTATTGATACCAAGTTTGTTATATTTGAGTGATTGATAAAAATGTTGAGCCAAGCAAAAGACTTGTTACTAGAGTTTCTTCCTTCCAAATCAACAGAAAAATAATGAAATCTTTCGTCAGAACAAAAACATAAGGCCTTAATGTAGCACACAGGCTGTCCTTAACTTGCTATGAGGATACCCTGAACTCCGAGTGCTGGGATTATCCTTGTGGACCACCAGGCCTAGTTTACCTTTTATAGTAGGTTGTTTACCTGGCCAAAGATCTCCCTAGGGAGTACTGTTCTGATTGCATTTTTCTGGCATTACCACATACACACAAGAAAAACAAATTCTCTGTTGAACTTACTGGTCTGGTTATCTGATATTTCCTGTCTATTCACCCAAAAAGTGTTTATTAAATGACAACTTATACTCATCCTCATAAATCAAAGTGAGATTACTTTGGCAAATAAGTGTTAAATGAATTCTTGCTGCTACTTTCTTGTTAGGGCTAATATGAACTCCTGTAAGTGCACTGTGAATCTTGTTATCCAGGTTCTCTGGACGGGTATAATAAAACATAGATTGAGGCCTCCTGCACTGCAAAGGGCTGGAGGAAAGTATATGCTAGTAGTTGTGGTAGTTAGATAATGGTAGTTATCCTTGGATTTCCCCTGCTTTCTGAGTTTCCTAAAATAGCAGAGCAAAGGTTCTCCACCTTTGGGTTGCAAATGACCCTTTCATAGAGGTCACGTATCAGATATTGTGTATCGGATATTTACATTATGATTCATAGCAGTAGGAACAGTTATGAAATAGCAATGAATTAATTTTATGATTGGGGTCACCACAACATGAAGAAGTGTATTAAAGGGTCATAGCATTAGGAAGGTTGAAACTACTGTAGTAGAGGGTTAATTTGAAGAATTTTTTGGGCCTGGTGATGTGTCTCAGTGATTGCAATTATTTGCTTATTTAGCACATAAGGTCCAGTGCTGAGGGTGCGCACATGAACAGTTTCCCTACACTGCAAAAACAAAACAAAGATTTCTGCCCTTCCTTTGTTCTAAGGATTAAAGTTTATATTTTGTGATATGTCTGATGCTCCATGACTGTCAGATGACCAAACTCAATTTTAATCTTTGTTTTGGGATATATTTCTAATATGAAAGCTGGTCAATGAATGAAGAAAGAGGTATTGTGACTAATTTTGATCTATAAGGTCATTATATTGAGATATCTTATTTTATTTTATGGGGAAACAGAGCCTAATCCTCCTATTGATGAAGTCATCAACACACCAGGAGTAGTGGCCAGGTTTGTGGAGTTCCTCAAACGAAAAGAAAATTGTACACTGCAGGTGCGAATATTTTCATTTATTTCCTTAGAATGTTGTTTTTAAAACCTTTTTGTCCATGAGTTACTTATTTTAATCTATATGAAGGCTTGTATGTTTATAATGGTATTTATTGTTGATAACTACCTTAATAAACTGCTTATATAGGTTTGTTAATATGTAGGTCCTGATTAATACTCACTAGAATTTGTATCTTATTTGAATTTTTAGCAGTAAGAGTCGTCATAACAGGGCCCTATGCAAGCTGTGTAAAGATTTGAGACAGAGAGACAAAGACACACTACTTGTCCTTCTCAAGTATAACAGACTGTGTATAACATGGACTGGCTCAGACACAGTTATCAGATGTGGTCTTACTACCCTCTCCTACACCTAAAGAACTGACAAACTTTGCCATGAAAACTGTGTGCTTTAAGTTTGATTTTCTAATAATGCTCTATACAGAGTTTACCACCTTAGGATTGAGTAATTTTTACAGCAAAAGGAGCCAACTGTCCAACTCACAGTCTTTGAGTATCTAGAATTCTAAAAATAATACTTTTTTCTTGGGTAAAGTTAACTTTTGCAATTATTTTGGTTATTCAGTAGCTACATATCCTTGGTGTAGCAGATTCCTTTAATATCTGAATTATTGACAAATATGTATAATCCCTAAATTCTCACCAAAGTATTATATGTAATCAGCAGCTATAAAATTTGCTTAAGTCGCAAGTAGATCTCAAGATGGGAGAAATACTTGCCAATAAAAAGGCCAGTTCCTACCTCCTTTGTCTACTCTTGACTGAGGCTCCTCATACATACATGTCAGTCCTTGTCCCAGGCTCCTTATTGGTTAGGCCATTGCGGATGACTTGTGAGTCTTAGTGCATTGTCTTGATACTCTCTCTTTCTTTCTCCATCTTTCTCGTCATTTTACATCTTTATTGCAGTGATGAATTTCTTCCAGAGGAGAAGGAAAAAAATCCAGAAAAGGTAGTGTACTTCTCTGTCCCATCAGTTTCTTTTCTCCAGTTTGACTTTTGCCAATCCCTGTGTTTATTTGAATTAAGATTCTGTTTTGCTTGCTGCCTCCTGTATTATAATTCTGGTCTCCATTTAAGCCCAGAATTGTCAGACAGTTGAAAAATCAGGTTTACCCTGAGAGCAAGGGAAGAAAGATATTTTTTTTTCCTCAGAAAAAAGGAAATCCAGACAACCAACACTGCAGAGAACAGAGTCTGAGCCCCTATGTAGCCTGCCAACAGAACCATTGGGATCAAAGGAGGAGATTTACTGCAGTTTATCATTTGAAATGGTTTTTAGGAAAAGGGAGGTAGGGAGGATGACCATTTTGTTAATTATGAAAATGTTGTTCTCCAGTCTCTGGGAATGAGTGTAGTTGAACAGTACTGATTGTACCTTCAGATCAGGCAGTTTTTATTAGGTGATTACAGAAGTCTACTTATGCACTAAAGAAATAGGCAGAATCTTCCAGACTTAAAATGAAAATCCTTGAGAAACAAAGCTCCCTCTCTCTACATTCTCCTGTACTCTATAAGCAGTATAGTATGTTTATATATACTACCCTTACCTGCGTGAGACATAAATTCTGAATCATTTTGTGATTCATAATCTGTTAGAACTTAGGTGAAAGTCTTCAAAAACTCTTGATTTGCTTTTACCTAAATTTTTAGATTCCACCCTTATCCAGACTAGTAATCAGGATGAAAGACTGAAAAGTGATTTCTCTGAAGTGACTACTTCATGAACTTTGGCCATACCATCTAAGACTGAGAAGTAGCTGGTCTAGTGTTTGAGGTTGTTGTCTCCAGCTTTCTTTCTGTATGTTAAGCACAGCATGGCATTCTCTCTCTCTAGTGTGAGTATTGGTTAAAATCCATCACCTCCAAAGCAGTAAGAGCAAATATACTCAGGGAGACATAATTGCTCTGCCATGGCTTCAAATAAGTAGATGTGTTCTGGAGAGCCTGGAGGGCATTTCTTGCTTTGTGGTTTGGGGAGAGCACTGCATATAAGATATCATATTTATACCTGCCTGCTTTCTGAAGATGTGAGTAGTGTGACTTTGAGTAAGGTTTTGCCATTTCTGTCTCAGAAAGAGACTGGTAGGACATGGCACAAAGGAAATTGAATGGCTCAATTCAATAACAAATCCCTCTGCTAAGTGTAATTTATTCATCCTATAGCTAAAGAACTGAGTTTTAGTGACCTTCATTTTGTCTACTCAAACAGATGGAGTATCTCAAATAAGGAAATTGAAAATGCCTCTGTTGGGGCATCACTACCCAAATACTTACCCTCTTGCCATTCAGACTGGAGGTGAATATGGGTAGAATCTATTGATTTTGGAATTAAGCAGTTCCTTGGCTTAAGAGTGTGGTCAAGCTTAATGATAGTGGCTACTTCTAGCCTTTGTCATGAGACTGGTCTGCTCTCTGACATGTCTGTGGGCCCACTTGTTTGAGTTCAGGCCCAGCATCTTTATAATACTATCTTCTGCAGTGCTGAGACACTGTATTGCCAAGCCTTTTATAAGTTTATAAAAAATATCTAGACATAATAAATTGCTTCCTGCATATAAACATTGGGTGGCACTCCTCCGAAAGTTATAAGTTTGAACAAAGTTGGTTTAGTTTTTCCCCTTTCTTGGCTTTCTTGTCCCCTGTGGAAGTTTAGTATGATAAACTGCAGTAAGGGTCATCCTCTTGCCCCTCCCATCTGTACTGATCTCTGCCTTTCCTGGAGGGTTGCTCAGATAGCTCAGGTGCTCTTCTCTGCAGTTTGATAATCTGGGTTTATTTTTCTGATGTGAGCCTTTCTTTTCACTTGCTCTCCAGGTGAGCCTGGTATTTGCTAGGAACCGGAGTGGAACCGGCAAAGTGGCCAGCAACAGAGTCCTGATCCAAATGGAGAAAGGGAGCCAGGCGTACCTCAACCTGGAGTGGGAAACTTGATAGGAGGTCAGAAGTACTTCAGCTTTGGATTCTCATTTTCCTTATTAAAGGGACTGAGCACCAGAATGTAGAGGCTCAGAAAAAGGACAGAGAGAAAACTTCAAACCTGAAGAACACAGATTGCAGCTGTAGCAATCAGTCCTTATTCAGCAAGTTTTCTGATCAAAACATCAGTGGAATAATAGTAATTTATAAGCAGCTATAGCTACACAGTAGATTATTTCCTGTGATGTAGTTCTTTGATTGCTGAGAATATATTAGTATAGGAAAACATGGAGAACACTAAGGTTGTGATGATTTGTTGCTTTTGGTGAGAGAATTTTTTAGATACTCCCTTCCACCTTTTAGGTTATTCTCTTGAGTTACACGATTACTTAAGTTACTGTTTACTTACTTAAGTCATTGTTTCTTTCTGTCATATATTTATGTATTTTTTAATCATCATTAGATCTGAGCTTTCCTGTTTTACAATCTCTTCCTGGTTGCACTCTAATCTAGCACTCAAGGCTGAAATATTAAAAACAAAGCTTCATATTTTAGCGAAATAAAGTTTGTAGTACAGACTATGAGAAAAGGACATCTAGGTAGCTGACATCCAAGTTTTTGAAAAATATACCTACATGTTAAACGCATTTGATAGTATCTGACATTGGCAGGCTTACATTCCTGAAGTGAGTTTTGTCTTTTTTTTTTTCATTTCCTCTCTCCTACACACACATGGCTATACCTCATCATAAGGTGAAAAAACTAAAGGAATAAATACCAAAACTACCTTTTAGTTTCTGTTCTGGAATCTTTGCATTTAAAGATGACCATCATTATGATTATGTACTGAATATGAGCATAACTATGCCACATTAGCTTTTCCAAAAGCGTATCTAATACTTACCATCCATGTTCAACTGTTGCTCACCTTTTCATTTTTCTAATCATTATCACAGTTCTGCTTTCCTGTTTTATTCATCTTAGCAGGTTTTTGATTCTCTCATTTTCTCAGAGACCTTTGATGTTCAATCAGCCAGCAGTATTCACCGTGGCAACAGTTAATATTTGAATTGATGTTTTCTGATAACTTTTTAGTAAGTTCTTTATGTTATCAGGGTAATTAGTGTGATTTTCATCAAAATCTGAGTGCAATGCTTTTTCTCTTGGATATTTAGTATGCAGGTGTGACTTATTATTTCCAACTTCTTTTGACTTTAGTAATTGGTAATTATTTTTTGAACTGTGAGCCTTCTTTCTAATAGGACAGTCTGCTGCCTTCTTACATCATCTGACTTGTGTTTTAACCAATTTTTTTTTTTTTTTTTTTTTGAGACAGGGTTTCTCTGTGTAGCCATGGCTATCCTGGAACTTGCTCTGTAGGCTAGACCAGGATGGCCTGGAACACTCCTGCCTCTGCTTCCCGAACACTGGGATTAAAGATGTGTGCCACTGCTGCTCAGCCTAACTAAGTAGTTTGAAGTAAACTACATTTTAGGCAGCCCCTCTCTAGTATACAGATTAAAGTAATATGCTGTTTGAAATTTCTTTCCCTAGGTGGTAGAACCAAAAGTGACTGAAATAGTCCTATGTATATGTTTCAGAGAGATGGAAAATAGTTTGAACATTTCTCACATTAATATTTTAACTAGAGATAAATGTATGAAGTGCTCCTCCCACCCCCATGATATTTTGGGTTTAATTTTTTTATTTCCCTCCAAGTCTTTATTGATGTAGTTACACACATATGAGTTTTACAGCATTAGCCACATGTTTTGGCTTACAGAAGTATCTTTGTCCTTTCGTTCTGATGATATTTTTTCAACTGTAGACCAAATCGTAGATGAGTGCCCCTTCACTGATAGCATCACTCTTAAAAAATAAGCAAACCAGTGAACCCTCAAGGGTTTGGAAAGAGCTACATACGTTTATCTTACTTTCATCTTCTTGTTTCTTCTGCTGTAAGTTTACCATCAGTCACATGGATTTGTTCTGCCACATTCAGTGATTGATGGCTTGTCTCTATGACAATTACCTTTTAATTGATATAAAAGATGAGAGAGTAACCACAAGTATATTTTTGATGATATATATCTGATCTCTCATTCAAAATTGTACCTCTAAACAGAAATGTGCCATTTTCCCCCCCACTGCATACACTAAATTAAAATTCAAGAGTGAAAGTTTATATTCCTATACTCAGTTCAGACCCCTGATTTTTAGTTAATTCTTTCCACCAGTTTCTGTCTTTTAATTTCTAAATTTCTTAAGCTAAAGAGAAAATTGGGGATCTCCAAAATTGGTAATATGGAATAGGGTTTTTGTTGTTGTTGTTGACCATAACTTTGTATTTTCTGCTTACCAATGCTGCAATATTAGATCAACCCAGGTAAACTTTTACCCAGTTTTACCTTTGCCACCACCTCTATAGTCTTTTTCTCTTCCTGATTGTCCCTTATCTCTATTAAGAAACTTATCCTGTGGCTGGAAAGATGGCTCAGTGGTTAAGAGCACCGGCTGCTCTTCCAGAGGACCTGGGTGCAATTCCCAGCACCCACATAGTGGCTCATAACATTTGTAACTCTAGTGCCAGAGAATCTGGCACCCTCATACAGACATAGGTGCAGGCAAAACATCAGTGGACATAAATATTTTAAAAAGAAAGACACTTATCTTTGCCTGGACATGGTGGCAGTTGTCTTTAATCCCAGCACTCAGGAGGCAGAGGCAAGCAGATCTCTATGATTTCAAGGCCAGTGTAGTCTACACAGAGCTCCAGGCCAGTAAGGGCAACATAGTGAGACTCTTACCTCCAAGGGGCCAGTTTATTTTAAAGGAAAAAGAAAATTATCTTTGTACTTGGGTTGAAGCCTTCTCATCTACTAAATATGCTCTGAAGCAGACATTGCTATTGATTCCATGCCCATTAAGTTTGTTTTACTTCTTTAATGGTTACTTAGAAGATGTCTTGCCCCTTTCAATTGTAATTATATAAAGTACATTTTATACTAATGTTCTCTTTTCATTTTACTGTCTCCATCCCCTAGAAATATATTTGTTCACTAGATTGTAGGAACGGTACCACAGGGCAAGGCCCAAAGGGACATAGGCTGTTCACTAGAGTTGTTTTTTTTTAACCATTTTTCAGTCATCTAAGCCTATCCATGTAAGCCTTGAAGATTTCTTGTGAGTCTGTCTAGAAATTATCTGTACAATACAATATCTGTATTAATGTATTTATTCCTTTTTAACCCTTTAATTAATGAAATGTATGTTAACTATATTGAAATACATTATTTGTCAAGTTGTTCCTTTCATTACAATTTTTAGAGATCATTCCATATCAACTTAATCAAATACATTTTTTTTTTCTCTCCTATAGTTTCATGGTAACTCTACTTTGGTCTGAAATTGTAGATACCTTGAATGTTCCTTTATAGACTGAGGGATTCTGGAAATGATTTTAAAATTTATATGCTAATAACGAACCCTGACTGATCCCAAAATCTTTTTTTTAATGTACAAAACATTGTGTTGCTCTAAGTAAACAACCTTCTAAATTTTAATAAGATAATGAAACTTACTTTTGTCTTTGTAGTTTGAATCAGCTTGGGTCCTTACAAATATTGCTTCAGGAAATTCTCTTCAGACCCGCATTGTAATTCAGGCAGGAGCAGTGCCTATTTTCATCGAGTTGCTTAGCTCAGAGTTTGAAGATGTCCAGGAGCAGGTAAGATTTGAGTAGTCACATAGAGAGCATAGATTCTCACTGTCATGCCCAGCTTGGCTTTGATTACTTGTTCACAGTGACTCATAGCTTGTTAAAATAGGAAAAATCGTCTTCTGAGTATTTTCCTTCAAACCATGGAATTCTTGCAGATTTTAGCTGTCTTTTTTTATTAAAGTCATGGACACAATAAAAGTAAATAATATGCCATGTACATGTATGAAGCCACTGTGATGAAATTTCGTTCACCGCCTTCACAAGTTTAATAAACATGTCTATGTTTTTATTTCAGTTATCTGCTTACAGTTTTCTGTTATAAGTAATCCTAAGTATTTTTTTAATCCACCAAGTAAGCCATTTAAATTCCTGTTCTGTACAAAGGACTAATATTACTTACAAATGAGGACAGTATTCTTTAAAAATAATTGGCTCCAGACTGGGGGTATAAGCTCCGTAAGGGAGCTATTAGCCAGCCTGTGTGAGAAGTTCCAAGTTTGATTTCCAGCACTGGAAAAACAGTTCTCTGTTACTAGTAAAGTGTTTATTTACTTTATTGGAATAACTTAACATTTTCTTTTGCTTATTCTACATAGTTACATATTTTGTAACTCTGATCCTGTAGTTGGTTTGACTCTCTGATGAGTGATTTTAAGAAAGTTAATAATAGTCTTTATATAAAAATATTGATGAATTGTTATATGATTTTATAAAGTGTTACTGTAGTATGCTGGCATTTCTTTGAAAGAATTATAAGGGAATGAAAGTATTCAACTTTATTAATGAGTAATTCTTTTACAGGCAGTCTGGGCTCTTGGCAACATTGCAGGAGATAGTACCATGTGCAGGGACTATGTCTTAGACTGCAATATCCTTCCCCCTCTTCTGCAGTAAGTTTCTTTTTTTGAATAATGTTATATGAGAAGTGTTATATTTTGGGAAGTCATTTTGGATTTTCTAGTGTTAATTTTGACTTCAGGTATCTTCTTATTAAATTGTTAGGGTGAAATCCCTTACTGAAATTCTGTAATAGCTCAATAGAATTCATGAAGTTCAACCTCAAAGAGAATAATATACGAAAAGAATTAATGAATCTTTATTGTTTATAGTTCTGGAGAAAAGTTAAAGATATCATTTATCAGTAGTATTTAGAGAATTAGTATCTTCTATAATTTACCATGGAACCATTTTACTTGTAGGTTATTTTCAAAGCAAAACCGCTTGACTATGACCCGGAATGCAGTATGGGCTCTGTCTAATCTCTGTAGAGGGAAGAGTCCACCTCCAGAATTTGCTAAGGTAAACGCTGTGCTTTTGGGAAACTATTAGGAAAAAATGCTCTTAAATATTAATGTTTACAGAAAGTTTTATTTTAAATTTTTTGTTTGTTTTTCAAGACAGGGTTTCTCTGTATAGCTTTGGCTGTCCTAGAACTCAGTCTATAGGCCAGGCTGGCCTTGAACTCATAGAGGTGTGCCTGCCTCTGCTTTCCAAGTGCTGGGATTAAAAGTGAATCACCAGCACATGGCTAAGATAATTTCTGATAAAATTAGAGTGTTTGAAAATGTATTGATTTGCCAGGTGTGGTGGTGCAGGCCTGTAATCCCAGCACTTGGAGCCAGAGGCAGGTGGATCTCTGTGAGCTTGAGTCCAGCCTTGTCTACAAAGCTGAGGCCAGGACAACCGTGGCTGTTACCCAGAAACCCTGTCTCAAAACAAAAACAAAAAAACAAAACAAACACCAAAAAGAAAAATAAAAAAAGAAAATGTTTGTAGAGAAAATACTTCTGGTATTTTGTTTTTGTTTTAAAGTAATTTCTCAATGCCAGTATGAAGCTCTATTACTTCTAGAGCTATAACAATTTTTATTGAACAGAATTTTCTGGCTATAGTATTTGTGAAAGTTCTTTCACCTTCTTTTCTATAAGTGTACTGTAACAAAGGATTCTAATTTAAGGATAAATGCATAAAATTTTTCTTCCTGAAGTCATTTTCTTTGTGTTCTAACCACCTCAGCTCAGTAAACTTAATAATCACTGATCACATTGCCAGAGATAGTCCATAACCAGAAGTGTAAACCACCCCACGGCGCACCAAATGTCTGACTGATAGGCTTCTTGAGAATCTTAGTCTCACTTTGGATTTGTTTCTGTTGAAGTTGTAACCGTCCTTTCTTTTCTAGGTTTCTCCCTGTCTGAATGTCCTTTCTTGGTTGCTGTTTGTCAGTGACACGGATGTACTGGCTGATGCTTGCTGGGCCCTGTCATACCTGTCAGATGGACCCAATGATAAAATCCAAGCAGTCATCGATGCAGGAGTATGTAGGAGACTTGTGGAGCTTCTAATGTAAGAGGAGTTTTAAGAAAGTTTGTCTGATGTCCTTTCATGTTGTTTTTCTTCATGCTGCTACGATGGATCGCACCAAAATGACTTAGAAGAGGAAAGATTTTATTTGACTTTCACTTCCAGGTCACAGTCTGTCACTGAGGGAATCCAGGGCAGGAACTGGAACTGGATGAGTGCTGCTTACTGGCTTGTTGTCTCTCTGTCTTGCTGCCCAGCTTCTGCTCAGCCAGCTTATCACTAGGATTGCTGTTGCTCACAGCAGACTGGGCCCTGCCTTCTCATGTCAGTCATCAGCCAAGACAGCCTCTCACAGACACGACCACAGTGCAGTATGAAATGGGCAGTCCCTCCTCAGGTGACTATAGGCTGGTCAGTTTAACAGCTGTTACTGACTAGTACACTCTTCTATAGTTTCCTTATTTCTAGTACTTTGGTACTAGTTGATAATACATTTTCTTGATAATTATACATTGGCCAAATATCTCATGTTTATATTGATGTCATTTTTGGTTTGCTTTTTGAGGCTTGATGAAGAATGTATTATTCCTCTGCCTTTATGAGTCCTTTAGCAGAATTATTTGGAAATCTTTTGCTGTATAATTCTATCTCTGTTATTCCCCCTCCCCTCGCTCCTCCCGCCACTTGAAGGCCTAAGGTCAGGTACTAGAAATCAAAGGGATATTGCTATGATAAATGGCCATTTCTTACTTTCTCAAACGAAAACCAAACTTGAATCAGACCTTTAATCGTATTTTTGTAGTGCTATTGGTGATAGCATGAGAGATTTACTTATGGCATAAATAATATTTGAGTATATTAATCAAGTCTTTAGCTAATACTTAGAAGAAAATGAATCAACAATATGATGGTGAAATGGTACAGTTATAAGCAACATGAAAGTAATTGATGTACAAAACAATTGTACAGATAGTGGGTCAAACATGATGTGAAATTGGTAAATAACATTATTGGGATTATAGCTGATCACAGACTGGTTACAGACCAGAAATGTAGTACAGTTACAAGTTAAAGGAGCATGGTGCTACTAGGATCCCAAAAATTAAAAATCTGGGAAGTGAACATTTATGTCTTTTAGTTACTCTGTTTTCTACATGCTTCATTTTAGTCATTAGATTTTAAATGTGAAGCAAGAGAAATAGAGTTTTAGAGGAAAGTTACCATGGTATTGCTTTATTTACCTTGAAATCTGTACTTAATATCTGTCTTCATATACATACAGCAGGCCTTGTGGAAAGCTTTTTTGACCATTAAGGCAGCCTTGTAGGAAACAGAAAAGTATTTGAGATGTGAATCTCATTTTGGTATTGAAGTTAGCTGAACTGTTGGTCTATCAGTTTCAGAATATGATGCCTCCCAGGCATCTCAGCAGCTCCAGGAGACCAGTCAGGAGGTGAGGGTCACTGTAGCAAAGAATAAGAGACAAGTGTGGAATTCAATGGTGAAGTACCTGGGACAGATTACTAGGAAAGAATTTACTTTTATTCTAGGTAATGGTCAATTCTGCCACCTAAATAACCACAATCATAAAGTACTTTTCTGCTTTAAAATTGAATTACATCTTTCTTATTTTGGATATTATCCTCTTTTGGATAGAATTGTTGTCTCTAACATTTCTTTTTTTTTTAATGGTTGCAGGCATAATGATTATAAAGTAGTTTCTCCTGCGTTGCGGGCTGTGGGAAACATTGTCACAGGGGATGATATTCAGACACAGGTATGAACAATTGCTAACGTTTCTCTAAAAGCAGTCCACTAACTCCATAAGCACAGTTCTGTTATATTGAATTCTGTATTGTTAAGCATCTTAACGGACACTGTTTTGCTCATATTTGCTATTGTCAGTATCTCTTTGTTGTCCTATGACTTGTAGCAATTATAGGTTCCCTTATGAAATAACTTTTTCCTAAATCAGTTTTCTCTCTGCTTGTATTTTAGTGGGTCTTAGGAGCAAAATGGTCTTTCTAGTAGTATACTTCCCGGTAGCTTTCTCCTTTTGTATATGCTAAGTCTATTGTAAAGAAGACTCTTCTCTCATAGTTCCAAATGTCCATTCTACTTTAATAACAAGGCACGTCATCCACAGTGAATTGTTTTAGCTATTTATTTTTCTTCCAGATGTATCTGATATATCAGTGATGCCTTAAAATTATCTTTCTTGGCTTCCATGGTAATGAATACTTTGGTTCTTTACTTTCTTTTTAGTAAGCTCCTTTTCTTGTTCTCATTTGTTTGTGGGCATGCTCTAGGGAACAGTTCTTTAGCCTCAGTCTTGATTCTATAACTTCAGCCATCACCATTATGTGCATGGACATAAGAACTGAGAGTTGGGGTTTTACTCTATCAATCAGCCTCTACAACAATTTTGTAATCTCTAAAATGAAAGAAATTAGATTTGTTTTCTTACATGTCTTATAATTATACTGTTTTAAATTCCAGTTTGTTCTTTATGTGAGGAAGCTCATTTTTCCCTTTTTACTTCTGCCTTTGTATCTGCTCCTGATGTAGTTTTTTCTCAGTGTTTGGCTTTAATAGTTGCCTGTGCCAGTAATGCAGGTACTAGCTGGACTCTGCCCTCCTCATTCATTCTGTTTTGTTACTCTGTTGCTGCTCATCCCTTGCATTGTATAGTATAGATGTCTGAGACAAGAGAAAGAGAGCACATATATTTGATTGTATTTATATAAAATTTCTTTGAGACAGCATAATAGGAAATTAATATCATTGACTATCTCCTAGGAGAACTTGGTTGTTGGAGTATAGGAAAAGAGAGAAAGGAAAAGGAGTTTTTTTTAACCTATGCTGTCTTTGTTCATTTTGAGTTCTTAAAATGCTCTATGTCAGTGTATGTATGTGCAAGTGCATGCATGTGCCACAGCTCCTGTGTGGAGGTCAGACAACATCTTTGTGGACTTGATTTTATCCTTTCTTTAAAATGAGTTCTAGGGATCAAAGTCAGGTTTCCAGGCTTATGTGGCAAATTCCTTCAGCTGCAGTGACGCTTGCTGGGCTATTCCTTGGATTTTTGAACCATGTTAATTTATTTACTTGGTGATGGCGGCTGGGGCGGGGGTGTTGATGCACAGCTTTGTAGGGCGTAGATACATCTCAGTGATAAATTGCTTGCCTAGTCTATATGAAGTCCTGAGGTCAGTTTCTGGACCCACATAACCAAAAGTTTCACTCTCTTCCCTGTTCCACCCATGCTCTTTGTTCTTGTCCTGTTTGGTCATTGAATTTTAACTGACCACTCTTAGCTCTGAGCTTTAACACAGGTTTTTGTTTGTTTGTTTTTTGTTTTTTCTTCATCTCTTAGCCCTGTCCTAGCCATCACTTCTCCCATATCTATACTCTTGTTGGTAATGGTTTATTTTTTGTGCTGTTTATATTAGCATCATATATTAGCATTGTTTTCTTTGAAAAGCTTCATTGAACCTCAAACTCTTTAAGTTAGATGATAATCTTTTTAGAAGAGCACTAATCATACTGTATTGTTACTCTATAATTTAAAGCTATATTTCCCATCACCGAAGAATCCTTTTTCTAAACAACTTAAACAGTTATTTGGTCAGGAAGTGGTGACACACAACTTTAATCCCACCAATTGGGAGGCAGAGACAGGTGGATGTCTGAGTTTGAGGGCAGCAAGGGCTACATAGGAAAATCCTGTCTCAGGGATGGGGAGTGTTAGAGAGACAGCCAGCCAGCCAGTCTGTTTGGGCTTAAAGTTTCAGGTAGTTTAACCTATAGTCATTCCACTCTGTATTCAAAACATGACATTCTAAGCCTTCCTTCCTCCTGTGTTAGCCCATTCTGCCTCATTGCCTTCAATTCACAAACAGGGAGCTGAGACTGAAGAAGGATCGTGAGGTTGACCTTGAATTTCAGGTCTGTCCAGTGCCTAAACCCAGGCTCTTCCTGCTAGTTCACACCCAAAATTAAGAGTGAGAAAGAGTCGAGCAGAGGCCGTACTCAGGCCTAACCTAGAAGACCTCCAGGGAGATGAGACTGAGCCTCAGTTCATTACTCCTGAGTTTAGCAGGAGGTCCACTGGGATGTCTTAGATGGCTGTCTCCATTTATGAAGATAATATGATTTGATGTTTCCTTCTCTGGGAGAGGAGCCGTGAGTTTAGTTTCTAGAGAGCCAAAATCAAGGGGTCTGTAACAAAGCAGAATGTTATGGTTCTGAGAATGTGTGTGTGGCAGAGGACCTTTTCCATGTCATGTCTGCTGAGAAGTGGAGGGAAGAGCAGAGGTAACTTGGCACTTGGTTCTTGCTTAAAGACACAACTTAGTGAACTGTTCCCTCCTGCTAGTCCCACCTTTCAAAGTTTCTACAGCCTTCTGAGAGTGTTGCCAGCTGGAGACCTAGTGTTCAAAACATAACATTCTAAGCCTTCCTTCCTTCCTTCCTTCCTTCCTTCCTTCCTTCCTTCCTTCCTTCCTCCCTCCCTCCCTCCCTCCCTCCCTCCCTCCCTCCTTCTTTCTTTCTCTCTTTTTCTCTCTCTTTTTCTTCCATTTTTTAGGCCAGGTTGGCCTTGAACTCACAGAGATCCACCTCTCTCTGCCTTCCAAGTTTCTGGGATTAAAAGCATGCACCACCACTGTCTACCTCTGTCTTGAAGTTTTTCTTGTAGAGGTCTTTTACTTCTCTGTCTAATTACATTCCAAGATAGATTATAGGGGAGTTATTTTAAATGGAATATTGTTCATAATTTCTCTGAGAATAAATTGTTGGAATAAATGAAGTGTCTTTGTTTAATTATATTGAATTTGTAACTTGTATTTTTTTAGATCCGAGAGTGTCCTAGTAGATTCAGTAGGGTTTTTGAAGTAAAGAATTATGTGGTTGGACATGGTGGAGCAAGTTCCAGGACAGCCCAGGCTACACAGAGAAACCCTGTCTCAAAAACAAAACAAAGATTTTTTTTTTTTTTTTTTTTTTTTTTTTTTTTGCATCTGTGTTCCTCCAGGAAGTTGGTCTGTAGGGTTTTGATTTTATTTGTTTTGTTGTTAGTGTCCTTTCCTGGTTTTTAGTGTCAAGATAATACTGACTTCATAGAATGAATTTGGATAGTATTCCCTTTTTTATGGAACAAATGAAGAAGTGGTGTGAGGTCTTCAGTGACGGTTTGATAGGACTCAGCAGTGAATTCATCTGGTCCTGGGCTTTAATAACAATTTCAGTCTGATTGCTTGTAAAGGGTTAATTTTGGTGGTTTGTATACAGTTAGAAATTCTTCTTTTTCGGGGTTGTGCAGTTTTCAGGCACAGGTTATGAAAGATATAAAGCTAGTTGTTTTTCTAATTCTAATTTTGTCATGGAGCTTCAGGGGTGAATAAGTATAGAATATGTTGAGTATTGAAAATATAAAATCTACTGTTGACCTCCATAGCTTCAGAATTGCTGCTCTGTCTATATAGAGGTTTACTGAGATTTATAGACTTCAGGTCTCCTAAATTTTGGAGTGTGGTGTTATTTTATTTGCAAGGCTTTTCAATAATAAATCTTATAAAATAAAAACTTAATATTTGTGACAAAATAGTTTTTAGAAAAGTTTCATTTACTCTTTGCTTTTCTGTCATGTAAGGATAGAATGTGCCCACTGGCTCTTCAGCTTTCTCCCACGTGAGGAAGTAGTAAGAAGGTCCTTTGTACCAGGGAACTGTGGGAAGTAAATCTCTCTCTTATCTTCTCTTTTCCTTTCGTTTTTTTTCTCTTTTCTTTACTTTCTCTTTCCCTTCCTCTCTCTTTCCTTTTTTTCTTGCCCCCTGCCCCCCAAACACAGGGTTTTCCCTATGTAGCCCTGGCTGTCCTAGAATGCGCTCTGCGGACTCAGAGATCCACCTGCCTCTGCTGGGATTGTGAAGAAATTTTCTAGTTTAGTTCGTTGTATTTTTTACATCTACTTTGTGTGTCTTTCTGTGTATGTGTTGGTGTGGTTTCTGTGAATGTGTATGAGTGCACGTGGTAGTCTGAGGATAACTCTATGGGTCCTGGAGAACTGATCATCAGGCCCATTGCCAGCACACACCCTCACCTAACACCAGTCTGTGTTGCAAATATTTTTTCACATCATATGGTGTACATTTTAATTTTAGGATTTTTGACATTTAGTGATTTTTATTAGATGAAGTGTTAATTCTTTGCCTGTTTGTATGTCTGAAAAGGCTTTCAAAATCTTCAGATCAGCCTGAAGTGTGTTGCTTTATTTGTTTTTTTCTGGCTATTTTGTGAGTGGGTTTGTTTGTTGTTTTTATAGTTGTGTCAGTTCGTTGCAAGGCAATTTTTTTCTAATGAATGAATTTCACCCATTTGGGTCATTTAAAAAGCTTGTATATTAAGTAAAACCAGTAGCAATTAGAGGAAAAAAGGATTATCTTTTATTTTCTGCTTATTTGTGTATCTATCTATCTATCTATCTATCTATCTATCTATCTATTTAATAAGTACTTACCTCTTTCTGGAATAGAATCTATTCAGCTGTACAGTAAAGGATTCTTGAACTTTGCACACATTTTAATTTCATAATTTTTGTTTCTGATATAATCAAATTCCTTTGCTTTTGAAAGCTGTTTGATAGTTGGCTTTTTGTTTTGTTTTGGTTTGGTTTTTAACTCTTTGTATCCTGTGGGGTACTTCAGAATCATTGATTTGTTGAGTACAAGGTAGAGAGCTTTTAGAGGTCAAACCCTCTTTGACCTCTAGGAAACCAGCCCTGAAGGCTTAGAATGTCGTTAGTCAGCACCAGAGGCCTACAGCAGACTTTCCCTTCCTTCTCTTTTTGGGATGGTGGTGGCAGTGTTTCACAGTGTTGCCCTGGTTGGCCTGTAATTCTCTGAATAACTAACCCAGCTTTTAACTCAGGAAAGATCCACTGCTTCCCAAGTGCTGGGATTATAGGGATGTGCCACCGTCCCTGGCCCTTATTTCTAGTTGTTTTAAAAGATTTATTCGTTTTATTTTATGTGTGAGTACTCTGTGTGCATGTATGTATGTATGTGTACCATATGTCAGCTTGGTGCCTGTGAGGATCAGAAGGAATCAGATACCCTGGAACTGGTGTTACGGATGATAATGAACCACCATGCAGGTGCAGGGAATTGAACCTGGATCCCGTCTGCACGAGCAACAAGTGTTCTTAACTACTGAGCCATGGCTCCAGCACACGTTATATTAGATGCTATATTATGGTTTTTTTGTGTTTAGTTTGTTTTGTTTTTGTTTTTGAGAGTATGGCTATAATAATCAAGCTACTCTCAAATTCAAGATCTTCCCATGTTTGCCTCCCAAGTGCTTGATTACATGTGTGTACCATCACACATGTCACAGCGTTTGTGAACCAGTTTAATAATCTTAGAATGTATTTCAGACTGGTAATATGACCGAAATGGTAAAGGCACTTGTTACCAAGTCTGGCCTGACTTCGATTCCTAGGGCACATATTTGGAAGGAGAGAACCAATTTCTGCAAAATTTTCCTCTGATCTCCGTGTGTACTGTGGTACATTCAAGCCCATACATGTACATGCTCTCCATGAATAAATGCAACTTAAAAATACTTTATGTATAGAAAGCTATTTTTTAAAATTCCTATGGAGGCTTTTGTTTTTGTTTGTTTGTTTTTTTCCTTTTACATTTGTCTTTAAATGAATTTGTTGAGTTAAAGGTGTACTTATTACCCCTGGGGAGTTAGATACAGAAAGATCCAGAATTCATCTTGCATTATGCATTGAGGTTGAGGCCAGCCTGTGTTACATAGGACCCTGTCTCAAGAGACAAAAACCCAACAAATATCCAAAATCAAATGACATACTGGAACAATACCATAAATAAAACTTAAAAACCTGTTTTTGTTGTTGTTCTTATTTGTGTTTTTGTTTTGTTTATTTTTTTTTTAGGTCATCTTGAATTGCTCAGCTCTTCAGAGTTTATTACATTTGCTGAGTAGCCCAAAGGAATCTATCAAAAAGGAAGCGTGTTGGACAATATCTAATATTACAGCTGGAAATAGGGCACAGATCCAGGTAATACCACAGGACCTTTCTCTCTGTACGAGAGATGCATTTTCAAGACATTTGATTTATTTTCTTATTTACTCCATTCATTCGTTTATTTGTGTGTTGCCTGCCTAACTGTACTTGTCTCATGTGCATGTGATGCCCTTGAAGACCAGAAGAGGGTATTGAATCTCCTGGAACTAGAGTTACAAGCAGTTGTGAGCCATTTGTGGGTGCTGGAAACTGAACCTAGCTCCTCTGAAAGAGCAGTAAACAGCTGAGCTATTTCTTCAGCCTCTTTTTTTATCTTATTATTTATAAGTAAACTTCTTGTGGTCAGCTTTTAACACACAGCCTTCATTATTTCTTTTAAAACTATCAACTTTCATTAACACTATTTCAGTCTAACTTTTCTTTCTTCTGATGTTAGTTTTTGGATACTTAGGCCATGTGTTTTCTTTTTATCTTTAAATATTGGTTTACCAAATATTAAAAAAAAAAGTCTTTGTGTTTTTTCAACTTACTAAGCATTACTTTCTAGTGAGCCCATGTGTTAGATTGTTTAAATTTTTCATGGGCTGTTAAAGGCATTCTGTTGTCGTTTGAGACATTTTGTTAGTGGCTGGATCTTACTCTAGACCAGGCTGTCCTCAGAACTCACAGAGATCTATCTGCCTTTACCTCTTGAGTACTGTGTTTAAAGATGTATACCACCAGGCTCAGGAGGGCCTGTTTTCTTTAAATATGCCCTTTTGCAGAGTCTCTCATTTTTTTGATGTAGGAAATTGTATTAGTCTATATTAGATTTCTCCATGGAGAAAGTATGTTTGGAAGACTATTGATAATGTGTAACTGGAATTGAGTAAAACCATGTCATTCAGTTAATAAGAAATACTATTATTATTTTGAGACAGGGTCTCATTGTGTAGCCCTGGCTGGCCTGAAATTGACTGTGTAAACCAAGTTAGCATCAAACTCTGAGATTTGTCTGCCTCTCCCTCTCTAGTATTGCAGTTAAAAGTGTGCATCAAAATTACCTGTCCCATGTCATTAAATGTATTTCACCTTTATTTGTTTATTGTATGTGTGTTTGTGTCACACACACAGGCAGGTACATACTGTGACCTTCCCTTTGAGCTTGCCACCACATGTGACATTTCTAATGGCTTCCAGGAATTATAACTCTTTGCCAGTTTTGGGCAAGAGCTTTTATCCACTGAACCATCTCTTCTGCCCTGATGAGACTCTTAAGACCACAAACCCCGTAAGAGTATTGTCTGTAGTACTAAGTATAACCCTCTGAAAAAGATAACAGGGCTGTGGGATGACTCACCAGGTAAGAGCATTTGCTGTTTTCATCCCAGAACCTGTAGTGGAAGGAAGAAACCATTGCTGTGTCTCTACATTCACACATATAAATAAATAAATATTCACACAATAATAAAGGATAGCCAAGGCTACTCAAAGAAACCCTGTCTGAAAACAACAAAAAGGTAACAGGAAAACAAACAGTATTTGTCAAGTTAGTTCAAAAGTTATGCTTTTAATCCCAGCACACAGGAGGCAGAGGCAGTTAGAACTCTGAGTTAAGGGCCAGCAAGTTCCAGGTCAGTCAGAGCTGTTTTTGGTCTCATAAAATAAAACAAGTTATAATGGCAGTAATATTTTTACAAATGATATAACTTCCTTGTCCTTTTAACTTTTTCTTCAATTTCAGACTGTGATAGATGCTAACATGTTCCCAGCTCTTATCAGTATATTGCAAACAGCAGAGTTCCGGACAAGGAAAGAAGCTGCTTGGGCCATCACAAATGCAACTTCTGGAGGGTCAGCTGAGCAGATCAAGTAAGTACTACTTGGTAAGATACAAATAAGAAACATCTTGCAAATTAGAGGAAAACAAGTTTAACCTCCCCCCCCCCCATATGTAACCTAAGACAAAAGATACTCTTGATCACTAAGAAATGAACTTCTTGAGTATGAACGTTTAAGTGTGGTCCTTTGGGAAATTGATATCAGTGTTCTAATTAGACTCAGAAGTACATTTAGTCTTTATGATTTATTTAAAAAATATTCTAAGTGTTCATATATGTGTGATGTTTGGGTATGTGTGTGCATGTAAATGCAAATGTCCGGAAGGCTACACAAATCAGATCCTGAATTGCAATTATTTTTTTTGGGGGGGTTGCTATGCCCTCTTTCACTTCTAATTATCTATGAGGGGTTTCTACCCCACTTCAGATCGTTTAGTTCCCAAATAAAAGACACAGACTTACTACATTTATAATAAGCTTTAAAGCATTAAAAGTGGGCAAATATCAACTCTCTAAGCTACTTTGCTATTTCCCAGCCATGTTTCCCAATATTACTTGTCACATTTTTGGTCTCTGGACTCCTTTTGCTCCATCAGGCCAGCCGTCATGACCATGTGCTCATGGTCCAGACTGCCCCATGGCAACTTTCTTTTTCTGTCCCTTTTCTATCCTGGTGGTTCCTACCTAAGACCCCAAGCCCAGGAACTGAAGCCCTATCTACCTCTCTTCTGCCCAATTACAGGCTGTCCAGCCTTTTTTTATTAACCAGTCAGAGATAATTGGGGAACAAAGTTTAAACAACGTTGCTTGGTGTATGTGAGGATGCACTTCTCTGGACTTCAACCAGATCTTGGGGCCCAGAATTTAGCATTTGAATACGCAGAGCACCAGACCAACTTCTGTTAAGATCTCCTGAGAACTGGAGTTATAGGTGGTTGTGAGCCATCTGGATGGGTAATGGGGACTGAACTCATTAAGAGTAGCACATGCGTTTCTGAGCCATCTCTGCAGCCCCTACATTTAGTTTTTAACAGTTGTTTTCTTTCTCTTCAGTTTTTAAAAAAGATTTGTGTGTGTGTGTGTGTGTGTGTGTGTGTCTGTCTATCTGTCTGTCTGTCTGTCTGTCTCTGACTTCGTCTCTGTGTGTACCTCATGTGTGTAGTTTTCATGGAGTCCAGAAGAGGCCTCTTCATACTCTCTAGTGCTAGAGTTACAGACAGTTGTGAGCTGCCCTGTGTGGGTTTTGGGAACTAAACTTGGGCCCTTTGGAAAAATAACAAGCATTCTTAACTGCTGAGCTATCTATGCAGCCCCTGTCATTTTCAGTTTTTGGTTTTTGTTTTTCAAGATACAGTTTTTGTGTGTTTCCTGGCTGTCCTGGAACTTGCTTTGCAGACCAGTTCCAGGCTGGCTTGGAACTCAAGGATCTGTTGCCTCTGTTGTTCAAGATGTACATCACCCTGCCCCACCAGACTTACGCTGTTTTCTAATGCTCCCATGGTGGTTAATGTTTTTAATTTCAGAATCTAAGTGTTCATTACTGGAGTATAAACAGTTGAATTTGTGTATTAGCTTTGTCTTTGATGCCTTATATCATAGACTTTTGCTGTACCTGTTATCCAGGCTTGTTTTGGTCGGTGTGTATGTATGTGTTTTTTCTCCCCTGCATAGACAGTAATGAAACTGTTTTCTTCCAGTCCTGTTTATACATTGTTTTTTCTTTTCTTTTAAAAAAAATACTGCTTACATTTCTTATAGTGTGCAATAGGAATAGTTAGAAAGTATCCCTTTCTTATATTCCCTATCTTTGTTTTCAAATATGTTAGCTGAACATGTCTTGTTAAGGCTCTTTATCATATTTCCTCTATTCTTAGCTTGCTGTGAGGTGGGTTTTTTTTAAATTTATAATTAAGAATGAATTTTGATTCTTTTCTTAATCTCCATGCCATCAGCAGTGATTTCTCTTTTTATTATAAAATGCTACAATGCTAGTAATTTTATGTGTTCTTTCTTCTAGAGATTTATCTGTATTTTGAGTTTAAGTGGTGTAGAAAGACTAGTGTGCCAAGTTTCACAATGATATTATTCACGTGTACGGGTTTCTGCTACATCAGTTATCTCTTCTCTATACACAACTTGAGAGAATAGAATTATAGGGGATTAAATGAATATCTGCTATGAATATCATACAGTAATCTGTCTCATTCATTATATAATCTGGAGGATATATTAAATTCTGCTGGAGTTAAAAAAAAAATACAGCTGTAGATCCTTCCATGAGTTTCATTCTTTTAGTTCATACGACTTGTGTTTGAGAAGTGTGACTACATATAGAAATAGTGATAACATTAACTCATCAAAACTATCTGTGCTAGTTTGGGTTGGGGGCTTAGTTATTTTGCACAATGGGAGGATGAATTGGGATTTCCAGAATCCAAGTAAATGCTGGATGAGTCTGGCTAGGCACCTGTAATTCTAGCCTCAGGAGGCAGATGTTACCCCCTGGGCATGCTACCTGGCCACACTCCCACATGAGTAGGCCCTGTTTGTTTGTGGAGGTACCTGACTTTGATGAATAATGTGGTTAGAATCATCAAGATGGTTCCTAACATCAACCTTGTGCTTCTACATGTACTTGGACATATACATGTAAAACATGAACCTTGGAATACCTCCGAAGGGAAAAAAGGAAGAGCTAGGTGGTAGTGGCACATACCTTTAATTCCAATGCTGGGGAGGCAGAAGTAGGTGGATATCTTAAGTTTGAGGCCAGCTGGTGTACTGCACAGAGAAACCCTGTCTCTGAAGGGAAGAAAGGAATGGAGGGAGGAAGGAGAAAGGAAGGGGAAAAAATGCTATTTTGATGAGTCACTCATACAAGTGGGAAGAATTCCACTATAAAAATTATGAAGAGGAAAAAATAAAATGTTATTAGATGAGCCAGTTTATTTTGTTTTATTTTGTTTTTCTTCTGTTCTTTTTGTACTTTACTTGGAGATAAAGCTCTACAGTTGGAGCTGGCTGGCTGGCTTAACAAGAAAAGCATTTGCTGCCAAGACTTATGACTGGAGTTCAACTCCTGGGCACCCACTTTGTGGAAGCAGAAAATGAACCCTTGTAGACTTTGTCTGATTTCCACATACATACTGTACCACACATACCCCCATTCAATCAGTCAGGGTACTAAAATTGTTTTTATTTTGGGACAGTATTTCACTATATAGTCTTGGCTGGCCTGGAACTTCGTATGTAGACCGGACTGGCCTCCAACTGGCAGAGATTCAGCTGCGTCAGCCTCCTTTATACTGAGATTAAAGACATGCCACCACGCCTGTTGTGCTAGTTAGTTTCTGTGTCAGCTTGATATAAGCGAGGCTTGGTCACTTGGGAAGAGGGAGCTTCAGGTGAGAAAATGCCTCCATTACATTGGTTTGTAGTCAAACCTGTGAGACATTTTCTTGATTGATATGGGAAAGCCCAGCTTACTGTGGGTAGTGTCACCTTGGCAGATGGTCCCGGGAGATAGTATAAGAAAGGTAGCTTAATAAGGGCTAGCCGGCAAGTGTGGCTTACTCTGCTTTAGTTTCTGTCTCACTGTCCCTCAATAGTGGACCATAATCAGGATGTGTAAGCCAGATAAACGCTCCCCAAAGTTCCATAGTTGACAGTTTATTTTTATTTCTACAGCAATCTTGAAGATGCCCCACAGTTGAATAAAAATCTAGAATTAAATATTTTTATGACTTAATTGTTCTTTTTGTTGGTTCAGGTACCTAGTAGAACTGGGTTGTATCAAGCCACTCTGTGATCTCCTCACTGTCATGGACGCAAAGATTGTACAGGTTGCCCTAAATGGCTTGGAAAACATCCTAAGGCTTGGAGAACAAGAAGCCAAAAGGAATGGCTCAGGCATTAACCCTTACTGTGCTTTGATTGAAGAAGCATATGGTAAGACCTTTACTGGAGCAGCTTTTGGCTAAGAATTAGGAAGTAGGACAGAATAGTATAAAAACACAAATATGATAGGCACTGGATGACACAGCTAATGACAAAATTAGAGAAATTTTGCTTCCTTCAGCCAGAAACTGTTTGTCTCATGCATTTAAGATGTTAACTTATAAATTAGCTTTCAGATGTAATAATCATTTCTGTATGATTATGCAATATAAGATAATTTAAGTAGAGACTCTTTACATCATACAGGTAGACTTAAAAATGTAATTACTGAGGTTTTCAAAAAATATTCTTTTTTATTCTTCATTTTAGGTCTGGATAAAATTGAATTCTTACAGAGTCATGAAAACCAGGAGATCTATCAGAAGGCTTTTGACCTTATTGAGCATTACTTTGGGACAGAAGATGAGGACAGCAGCATTGCACCCCAGGTTGACCTTAGCCAGCAGCAGTACATCTTCCAGCAGTGTGAGGCTCCTATGGAAGGTTTCCAGCTTTGAAGCAATCCTCTGCTTTCTTGTTCCTGTGTCACACCAGGCTGCCCAGTCAAGTCCTCTTGTGGAGCCCACAGTCCTCATGGAGCTAATTTCTCAAATGTTTTCCATAATACTATTTGCGCTCATTTGCTTGCCTTGCGCACTTGCTCTCTTACACACATTTGGAAAACCTCTGGCTCTCTGTGGTGGAATACCCTTTTATTACAAGGGTAACCAGAACGGCCCACTCTCTTTTGGAAAAGCCCCTAAGCTTTGGAGATCCGCACTTACATTAGAGTCATGGGAATCTATACACATATTAATGTGGCTCCCTTTTTTGTGGGGGAAAAAACAAAGAGGACTCTTCCTCATTCCGTATAGTGGGGAAAAATGACATTAAAAGATAAAACTAAAATCTTTATCTTGAATTTTACACAACTACTTGGACAAGGGAGATATTTAGACTTGTGTATACGTCAGTACTCTTCTCGAGTTCTTCCACAGTGAACCAACCCTTGGAGTACCCGGTGGCTTGTTCTAGCCAAATTTGCATTAATCCTTATTGAGATGGGATGGTTTTCTTTCCTCTAATGGAGTCATTCTTCAGATATTAAAGTTAAACCATCCACTCCCTCACCTTCAGCCTTCAGTGAATGTGCTTCTAGTTGTCAGGAATGCTGAAGAATTAACATTTGACTTAAATGTGATACTGGCTTGACAGATTTCCTTAAAGCAGAAAGGAGAGGAGCACCTATTAATTTGTATGGCTTTTGCTTCTCTTTGGTTTTATGTTTCTTAGGATTTGGAAGTGGTTCAGTTTTAATGCTGGTATGAAGATTAAAAGTCCTTAAGTAAAACCTTGTTCTAAAATTCAATTGTAAGAAGAACAGGAACCCATCACTTTCTTTAAACCATCATGACTAGAGGCTGTGTTTCTGCATTACAAAAGATACTCAGGCTTTGTGGTCCTGAGCCAGGTCCTGGTAAATTGGAGTTCGCCCTAGGTGCTTTTCCTCTGTGACTGGCAGATGACACATATTTAAATGTTACTTAGGTTGTTTTTGGTCAAGCGCAGCTCTGTTGTGATGTCCTCGTGCTGCACACATGACCCTGCAGTGCAGCACCCTTATCTTTTAAAGCATAACAGTCTCCTCAGTGTGACCTCTAGGCTAAAAGGGCAGTGGTCCAATAACCTCAGTGCCCCTGATTGTATTTCATCTCCTACTAGCACCCTACCTCCCCTAGAAAGAACAGTGCCCACCTCCTGCTTATTTAATGAAGACTGTACTATCCCTGCAAGTGGCGCTTCCAGCACTGTGTTCACTGATCCACATTTGTGCTTGGACTAGAAGGGGAAACAGACAAAAAAGCATAATTGCCAAGAGAACTGCAAATGAGTTCAATGTGACTTCTCGGTGCTAGTTGGCCATCTTGGCTCAATGTTGGGACACACTATCAGAGAGGTTTTTTGTTTTGTTTTGTTTTGTTTTTTAAAGATACTCTATTCAAAATGAATTCTGAAGGAAAAGTTGCTCAGAAAAGTCTGTTTCAGAGCATAACCTTTTAAATCTCTTTAGACTACTCTTCTAGAATTCATTGTAACCCCAAAGTGTAAGAAACTATCTGGAAGTTGCCCTGACAAGCTATTGCACATCTCTGGTAAATCCTGCTGAATGTAAGGGATATTCAGAGCTTTCATACCTCATCATGATGTTATTTAAGCAGCCAATTTATACGACCTGATTTACTTTGAAAAATTCATTTCATTTAAACTAGGAAGTTCCAGAGACAAAGGACATTTATCAGCCAAGAGTGTGATGCATTCTTGCCCTAGTCTTTACTTGTGTCTGTGCTCTGGGATGGACTGTCTGATGTCTGTTATTGATGGAGCAGGCACTGCAGAACTAGTCAGTTCCCATCTGTCCTGTTGTTTTCTAGTGCTGCTTTGTGCTGAGAGAACATGTTAGTTTACTGAACTTGACCTGTACAAGACTGATTCTTTGTAATTTTAGGGATAAAATTAGGTGTTTAATTTAAAGATGAACTTTCAATGTTGCCTTTACATCACATTAAAATATCACTTCTTTGAGAGAAGGGTAATAGAAGCACTGATTCATAGTAAAAATCTTGTTTTTAGCTTTGACTTTTCTTGTGGCTGATTTTTTTTTTAATTGTAAATTGCTGGTAACATGTTATTTCTATAGAATGTTTTAAATTATGTACCTTCTAATGGATAGTTAAAATCTTTGCATCTTATAAATGAGTTTGAATGAAAAGAAATACAAAGCACACAGTTGTAACCCATCTTACCAAGAGCATACACATGGAACTTTTGTAGCAATTTCAGGGTGAGCTAGCTAGTGAGTTAGGTCCATTAACCAGTGTGATCGCTTTTATCTAAAACAGAAGAACTTATCTTAGTCTGAGCAGAAGCTCATGGACCTTAAATACTCTGAACTTTGTTTTTATAGAAAATGATTGTTTATGTGTAAAGATTGGAGTTGGCTAAAGTTTAACCCTAGCAAATTCAGATGTTTGGGAACTGAATACTTACAAAGCGGACTTTTTTTTTCTTTTTCTTTTTTTTAAATGTGAGTGGAATTTTAAGGGGTACTTGTAAATCCTATTTTTAGTCTTTCACCTGGTAAAATCTATTAATTTAGTTTGAATCTTTTGAATATTTTTATCACAAAGGTGTTACTTATTATAAAAAGCATGTTAGTATTTATAACACAAGAAAACTTTCAGTTTTTAGATAGTGATCAGGGCAAAATGGCTTTGTTTTTCTTTCCCTGTCTTCCTTCAGACTTTCCAAGTATGTATTTTATACTGAGAACTTTGGTTTAAAAAAAAAAAAAAAAGCATTCAGAGATTTTTGAGATGTGAAGCTATGTGGTACCTGAAGGAGCAGAGGGTAAATATGATTGAGTGAGAAATAACCTAGAAAGAACATATGCCAGATATAAAAAAAGATATAGGAGACAGAGTTCTCCGTGGAACAGTTGTTCTTGTCACCAGTCAAAGCCATTTTTATATTGCTCTCATCAGTAGTCCCCCTGCTGGAAACTGTTGCTAGGGTTGTTTCTCCCATAGACCAGACAAAGTTATTGAACTCTGGGTGTTTTTCGGCCTTACTGTCCCATAATAAATCTGAATTATTCCAGTTGCTGCTGATTATGCTTAAGAAAAACATATGTAAGTATAATTTGTCAACCAAACTCCCTGTTGTACATGACTACCTACCGGCAACTTTGATTGATTTCTGTAGTGCTAAATAAACATTTCAGCTGTCTGACCCCGAGATGTGGGGCTGCATTGTAAAACAGGTTTTCCTTGGGTCATGGGATTTATTTTATTTCTGATAAATTTTGGGAAAATTGTCACATCAATAAGCAAGCCATTTTAGCTGTAAGCTTTTTTCTTACGTTGGAAATTGTGTTCAGTAATTTACAATAAGAAAAAGAAGTTGCTTTTTGACAGGGGCATTGTTTCCTTTCAGTATACACACATACTGTGTGCTACCTCCTACATTCCAAAATCTGCTCATTTGCAGTTTCATTTTGACATTCTGAAATAAAAATGGCCATTTCCTTCTGTTTGAGGTAAACAGAGTATCAGTTTGCATATAGGGAAAGTATTTTGGGTTACCTTCTTCTATCATCCAAAATTAGTTAAAAGTAACTGGAGACCAGATGTGATTAAGTATAATATATTGATTATAATATAAATGATATTCTATAATCTTTATTGTTAGGAAAGAACAGCTTGTAAGAATGAGTACTAAGATATGCTAATGTTTAGTAAAGTACATGTTTAACATTTTTAAAGTTTCACATTGGTAGAGCTAGAAAGATGGCTCTTCTATTAGACCATCAGTTGTGAAAGGTACTGCTCTTGAAGAGGATAGGAGTTTGGATCCCAGCACCCTTATCAGGTGGCCCGTATTGCTTGTAACTACAGCTCCAGGGGATCCAGAGTTGTCTTCTGGCCTCCTCAGGGACCAGGTGTACACATGGTGTACATGCATATATGTAACACAGATAAAAAAAAATCTTAAAAAGGTTTATTCAAGGTATCAAATTACTACTGTTCATAAGATCACCTGGAGGCTTGTGGTAAGAGAGAATTAAGTAGTATTAGTGGAGTTGAAGTTCTGTTTTCAGCTAAGAGTAGATAGTGAAATTTCTGTTTTCCTTTAGTTCAAATAAAAGCAAATCATGTTCATTTAGTGTCTATTTTGTGCCAGGTAATTGGCTAAAGGCTTTCCCTCAATCAGTCCTCTAGTTGCTTTTTAGGATGGGTATTTAGCACTGCGTGATAGATGGCAAGGTCAAGACTTAATAGGTTACATCACTCCAGTGTCATAATTCTAAAAGGGTGGCTGTCCAGAAGAGAAGAGCTTTACATGTTCTTCGTGGTCATGCAACATTTCTGTGCCCGTGAAGTCCTGCACTAGATTTTTTAGTAGTTATCAGTAGCCAAGTGTTTTGCAGTGGACCATCCTTCCTGACTGTTCCTCATCAGCAATACTTTTAAATGGACCCATATCATAGATCACAGTTGCTATTTACATAGATAGGTGAATTGACCCCGTTTCCAAGCATTTTTCCCCTTCTGTAGTACCAAAATTACCTACAGCCAGATAAGTGTAACAGCGGTTTAGAAGGAATTCAAGTGACTGATTATGAATTTTGTGACAGAAGTGAAAATATAAAAGGTACTGCCACTGGGAACAGCTTTAATGTACAGAATAATTTCTTGGAAGCAGCACCATGGGTATAAAGTTAGCACTGCCTTCTTAAAAGAAGTAGATTGTCCTATAGACCTCTTCATTTCAGCTGTTGGGCATTTCCTACCTCAAGAAAATTTGACCATCTTGTGCCCTTTCCCAAGAGTGTTTCTACACTTGGTTTGGAATGGCGATTGATTCTTTGTACTTAATGCACTCTGCCAGGCCATGAGTGAATGCTTTGCACATAGTAAATTTTCAATAAATAATGAGGAATATACATCTGTGATAGTAATGGGTATTTGATTACAAAAGAAAATTCAGAGGATTTCTTTCACGCATTTGGCTGAAACCAGAACTGACAACTATTAAAGCAAATGTCTCAACATAGTGTTTCATTTGTAGTTACCATTGAGGACCTGACATTTACAAAAAGAAACACTGTCAAATGCCAAGTCTATGACAGCAAAACAGTAAGGGAAAGAAGAAAGGATACTGATGTATTCTGCGAGCTAATACATACCTCAGTGCATTTGACACATGTTAGATAACATCTTATTAATCTGTTCTGGCTTCGTTTAAAGCTGTAGAAATTTTGTTAATATAGCCAGCTGATGTGGAAGTAGGTGGTCAGGCTGCTGAGATTTTTCCATTTTTACATACTGTGTATACTGCAGAGAATGTTTTCTTTATTCCTTCAGGCTTATGTGACAAATGAAAACCAAAAGTTGATACATTTCTTTACAATGTGACAGTTCCACTCTCCCTTTGAAGTTTACTGTCTAGGTACTTTTGTGAAAAGTGAGTTTAAATCAAAACAGCTTCAGTTCTTGTAAACTGTTAATTCATCTGCAGCACAGAATTACAGAGTGAGTATACAGATCTGCTACAAAGCTTGAATGATTTTTGACCGTTATTTACCTACATGGGGGGGCAGTATTTTTTTAGATAGTGTCTCCTGGGGCCCAGACTGGCTGTAACTCCTTTATAGCTGAATTGGCTCTTTTACTTTCATTGCTGGAGAGCTGGGATTACAGGCAGGCACCATGCCTAAGGACTAAACTATACAGCTTTGTGAATACAAACAAGCAATCTGCCTATTGAGCCACATTCCCAGCTTGATCTACATTTGAAAATTACTAAGTACACAGGTGACTGCAGTGCTTTTGCACAGAGCAGTTATGCTTTACATATCTTTATCCATACTCAGCCCAGGGAAGCCAGTGGAGTGCAGAAGAGGGGCTGTAGTGAGGTCACTGCCTGATCAACCATCTGAACTAGGTAGGTGAGGAGAAAAGCCCAAAAGACCAGTAGTGGGGACACAGTAGTGCAGGGCTTAGGAGTGGCCTGGTTAGCAAGTTGTAAGCATAGCATTTTACAAGGGTAGCATGATTATCACGTGTCCTAGAAGTCACCACTGATATCTGACTTGCTGAAGATGATACTTTTAAATTTATGGCTAAGACAGCTCCCTAGTTACTTGTGTCATCTGCTCTTAAAAGATGTTCAGTTGTAGGTAATGTTCATGGCAAATGTCTTACTCAATCTAAATAGGTTTTCCTGATATGGCAGAGGCTTGGGAACTGGATTTATAGTCCCAAGAGTGGCTTAAGGAAGCCAGTGAGAAGAGTCTTGAGGAATCACCCACGGACACACAGTTTTTTTTTCTTTTTTTTTTTTTTAAGTCAGTTTAATTTTGTTTAGGAAGAATTGAGGAGCAGGGAAATAGTATATTCTGTTCACACAGCCTTTTCTTTTTTTAGGTCCCTGATGCTGTTTATAAAGGAGGTATCTTACACATCAAAAAGTGGGTTTTACTCCTTTCAAAGTAAAACTATCTTACTCTTACCACCATATCAAATCTATGCACCTTTTTTCCCCTCACACTTGGGCTATGAGTGTAGTGAACTGGGCACTATTGCCACCATCCTGTTTTAGCTCCTAGGTTGCACCCATCTTCTTTTGGCTTCCCAGTACATATTAACTTGCATCAAAGCCTAAAATTTGTTATGCAATGTGCTTTTGGATGAGTTCTTGAATTGATAGTTTCTCACCACCCGCACCCCATCAGAAGTCACTGTAGTCCGAGCTTTACAAGTGGTTCAGTAGTTAAACGCACACCTACATGCAGCCATTTGTGGTTCCAGTTCCAGGATGATCGGATGCCCTCCTCTGACTCTGAAGGTATTGAATTCACATGGTACACATATGTGCAGACAAAACCATACACCTAAAAGCTGAGTTAATGATAGTCCATGCCAGCGGGTATGGTGGCACATGTCTGTTCATCCTACCTCTGACAAGGCTCGGCTGGTCTGCAGAATGAGATATCTCCACAAAGAAAACCGGTGGTTCAGTGGGTAAAGAGACCTTCCAGTATGCCTGGCAATCTTGACCGCCCATAGCTCCCTCACCTCATATGTTAATATTTTATTTTTGAGACGGTTTCACGGTGTAGCCCTGGCTGTCCCCCAACTCAAGATTTCTGCCTGACCCCACTTCCGGGGTCTGCACTGCCATTTATTTTCTTTTTAAAAGCTGGAGAGGGAGCTCATCAAGAGCATTTGCTGCTGTGCCAGAAGACTTGATTCGTACTCAAGACCGGACGAAGATACAGTTAGGCAGTCAGGCGTGACAGTAGTCCTGTAATTCCCAGTACTCTGGAGCCTCGGGCAGGATCGCCTTAAATTCTAGCCCAGTCTGGGATACAGTGAAACCCTAGCTCAGCCCCGGTCCCTGGCTCCTCATGAATAGAACTAATGGCCTACACCTGCAACCCCAGCACTTGGGAAATGGGAGTTATCGGGAGGAAGGGTTCCAGGTTGGACTGCGAGACGGTATCACAAAGTACCAGTGAAAAAGGATGCACTGAAAGGAAATGTTTCCGTAGCGCTAAAGAGGGTAGTCGCACGCAGCCTTGCCGTCTTGAGAAGACAACCTTCCCACCAACTTGTCCTCCAGAACCAGGATAACTGTTTTCTACGCAAGCATAAATGATCTGGGCTAAAAACCAAAGGTTTGCTGGTTTTTCTCACCATAACTTTGGGTTTTAACAGACCGCTAACGGATGTGGCTCTGAATGTTTTCTAAGCGTCTATAAAAGATTTTAAACTACAAGTTTTACGACCTGCGCACTGGCTCTGCGCCAGTCCCCTGGCCACAATAAACCCGTGGTATTCGAACTCAGCGTGGAGAGAAGGGCGCAGAGGCCAGCAGCGTGCACTGCCTTCCTGAAGGGCCCGCGGGCCGCGCCCCTTCCTGCACCCTCCTCTCCGGGGAGAAGCCAGGTTCAGCCTGCGCCAGCCGTTCCGGAGGCCCGGAAGCAAACGCCGGTCTCCTTCGGCGCGTGCGCCGCCCGCCAGGTCCCATTGGATGTGGGCCTTCCACTGCGAGTCCTCCCGGGCTCTCCGCGAGGTGGCCTGGTCTTTTAGCAGCGTCCTGCACCAGGACCCATGCGTGGACCAGTGTGATCTCTGATGCTACCGAGAAAGCGAGAGGGGAGTGGTCCGTATCTTGCCGCCGGTTCGGTACCGACTCTAAAGACGAGTCCACGTTACCGTCAAAACTGTGCGCCTTGGAACGGCAAGTTTATCTTCTGTAAGGTTCGGGGCCGGACGCCTGCGCAGACTGTGGCGTCCGAGCCATGACGTCCGAGCATCTGCCAGCAGAGGGAGCGCTGTCGGCCCCCCCTGGCCCACCTCACAAGGACGAGCAGAGAAAGCCCAACTATACCCTCAGACTTACTCTTGCTGGGCACTCGGCGGCCATCTCGTCAGTTAAATTTAGTCCAAACGGAGAATGGCTGGCAAGCTCCGCAGCTGATACACTAATTATAATTTGGGGAGCATATGATGGGAAATGTCAGAAAACGCTCCGTGGTCACAGTCTGGAAATATCAGATGTTGCCTGGTCTTCAGATTCTAGTCGTCTCGTCTCCGCCTCAGACGATAAGACTCTAAAATTATGGGATGTGAGATCTGGGAAATGTTTGAAGACACTGAAGGGGCACAGTGATTTCGTCTTCTGCTGTAATTTCAACCCACCATCCAACCTCATCGTTTCCGGATCTTTCGATGAGAGTGTGAAGATATGGGAGGTGAAAACGGGAAAGTGCCTCAAGACTTTGTCTGCTCACTCAGACCCCATTTCTGCCGTACAGTTCAATTGTAACGGGTCCTTGATAGTGTCAGGGAGCTATGATGGTCTTTGTAGAATCTGGGATGCTGCATCAGGCCAGTGTTTAAAAACACTCGCTGAAGAAGGTAACCCTCCCGTGTCTTTTGTAAAATTCTCTCCAAATGGTAAATACATTCTTACCGGAACTTTGGACAATACTCTTAAACTGTGGGATTACAGCAGAGGCCGATGCCTGAAGACATACACGGGCCACAAGAATGAGAAATACTGTATATTTGCCAGTTTCTCCGTTACTGGTAGAAAGTGGGTTGTTTCTGGGTCAGAGGACAGCATGGTTTACATCTGGAACCTTCAGACGAAAGAGATTGTACAGAAGTTACAAGGTCACACGGATGTCGTGATCTCAGCAGCTTGTCACCCTACAGAAAACGTCATTGCCTCAGCAGCATTAGAAAATGACAAAACAATTAAACTGTGGACCAGCGACTGCTAAGGTCTCCGGCAGTCGATGAGTAAAGCCAGATAAAAACAAAATTGAAAGGGTGTAGTCTTAATTTTTGGCATGGTTTTGTGGTTCTTTTCAAATTTGTCTTTGATTCGTATGGGTTTGAGACATTTTAATTTGCAAAATGAGACCACTGTAAAAGCAAGTCTAGGACCTAGGGCTTCTGATTCCTAATCTCGAGGCCTGTTGGGAATCTCTTATGTTCACCTCTTTCTTTCAGTAGCTTTCCAGAGGGGGAGGGTTTTTTGAGTATCCAGAAGGTTGGCAGAACAGGATGACTGAGGGGAGGAGGGACTTGCAGCTTCTGGTTTGGGAGGCCATTAATTTTAAGGACACTGACAAAAAGACAGTGAGAGGATTGGAGATGTTATTCTACAGATGGGACATCAAATTGCCAAATTAATCTATCAATTTGGGGTCATGGTCAGGTTTGTTTTATGAATCTTAACACTCATCATCATGTGTGTTGTGAAGGTCAGAGGACAACTCTCAGGAGTAGGTTCTCTCCTTCCATCCCGGGCTCCAAGTAGTGAATTCAGGTCAGGCTTTTCCGGTAGGAGCCTTTATTCACCAACTCTTACAGACCCTTAAATTAAAAGATTCTTAAATTTAAAGAATCTCAGATTGTTTTTGAGACAGGGTCCTACTATGTCGCCGTGTAGGCCTGGCTTCCAGTAAACCAGGGTGATCTCCAACTCATAGAGACCCACCAGCCTTTGCCTCCTCAGGAAAAAAAAAAAATCTTTGTAAGTACTTTGTTGGATCATGCCATTTTGTGACTTTTCAGGCAAATTACATGTCAGGTTGGACCTCTTAACTCCCGCCTAACATTCAATTCAGAAATCATCTTACAAATAGAATGGTTGCCTGTCTGCTGCCTCAGTGGGCAGCTGAGTTTTATTTTCCATCTCTTTCCTGCAGTTCTTATAAAGCTCAAAGTGTAGTTACCAGCTCTTTGATGGCTTCATGGGCCATGTTCTCAGTAGACAATAAACTCTAAATAAACTCTCGGAAGTAGTGTGTTAGAGAGCTATGACGACATGTCCTCTGTTAGCACTAGGTGTGGGAGAGGCAGGGAACCATTTATAGCAGAAACCACTGTGGCAGGCTAAGGACAAGGCTCACGAAACACGTGCTGTTGGAAATGCTTACTTTCCAACATTATCAAACAAGAGTGGGCATGGCATTTTCATAAATACAAAATGTAATTTCCCTGGGAGTAAGGAAGGGAGTAGTTGGGAGCCATGCCATGAACAGGAGGTGGCAGCTGGCCCCAGCAATTCCACCAGACTACTCTCATGACTTTGCCGGGGCACTGTCAAAGGTTCTTCCAAATGTTTCTGCCTACTGGCACGCTACACCATACAGTGTGTGGTCTAGTTGCTTTTGAGGCTCTGGGGAGTCAGTCTCCAGAAAGGTACCCTGGCATTTGGAAGGTTGGCTTTCCAACATGGACCTGGGCAGTACCGGCTGGTCCTCTCATCCCATCGGAAGTGGTATATGGAGAAGAGAAACCTACAAGATCCACACTCTTTTGGTCTCAGAAGACACATCAACTTTGGTATGTGAACAGAAGCTAGATAGGGCATCTGATGCTCCAAAGAAGAGTTAATACTACATTTGAAATTAGTTGCCTCTTTCACTTTGAAAAGTGGGGAGGCCGCGTTTTACTTGGATCAAAGAACAAAACACGGAGAAGTCATTCTTTAAGAAAATTTATTTGTTCCTCTACAGCAGAAACAGGGAAGTGGAATAAGTCTGTGCAAAGCAAAGTGGGTCTCATCTCACATCCTTTCTAATGCGGGCGAGTTTTGGCAACCTTACTCCCAGGTTTTGCAAATCCAGCACAAATACTTCTACTCTGTTTTGGCCTTCAGAGCTGCCTCTTCTCTCAGACGGGCTTTCCTTTCTAGGTTCAAGCTTGTTAAAGTCTCATGTCTTTTCACAGCCTAAAAGGAAACAAATTTGGAGAGATGATGCCAGGTTGGGGAGGACGGCCTCACCTTGTGCTGAGGACAGTGGACTAACTGCAGCACAGGCCAGGAGTGGACAGCTGCCTGGATACTGGGCAGCAGCATCCGCTACACACCTTCTGTCCCCTCTCTGACCTGAGAATCCAGCAGCCCATCCAAGGAGAGATATACACACCTCTCCCTTCCCTGTGCTTACAGCCTCTTTCTCCAAATACTATCTTGTTTTCCTCACATCCTTCACTCTTTTATAATGTAAATTGCCATTTCATCTCCATTTCTCTTTTCATTTATCCTTCCCTAAGGATAAATTCTTTAGGAAAATCACTTAAGTATGTAGTAATAGCTAAAAGGTATCTATGTGAAAGATATGACACAGAATTACATGTATACTTGTATACTTTTTCTGCCTTTCTAGAACCTTTCTTCCCTTCTAACAGAAACATTCAGCTTTGGGAATCCTGGGCTTTACCAAAATATTACCCCTAATGACTTCCCCAAACTCCAACCTTTCAAACAATTGGTGATAAGGCGAGCAGGAGGGTTGAGGGGGCGGGGGGAGAGTAGCCCTCCATTTCTCTTGCTTCAATGTGAACTGTTAAATGTCTTTGACGCTTATATAATCAGACCAGTTTTGATGTCCAGTATGTGAATCTAGCAACCACAGAAGCTGGGATCTTCTGACATTTGTGTTATTTCACATGTGAAGAATTTGGTGGGAGGAGGAAAGGGATGGGAAAAGAAAGTCAATGGAAGGACAACATAATGGTAACTAATTATCTCTTCTAAATGACATTTGGCTCAAAAGCTTTTCATTCTAGCACACCCCCTTGGAAGGTGTGGGAGGACATCCTAGGGGAATTACTTGCTTCTGGAGATTTTTTTTTTTTAAATATCAACCATTTCTCAGAATTCTAGAAATCTACATGTCCCATACATAGGCTTCTGAAGGTTTCAGTCTGAGAACTATGAATGGGAGGTCAAATGGGGAGATGGGAATGCTGAAATAGGATGCGCTCATGTTCAAGAGGACTTCACCCAGGTCAGCACATTTGGCCCTTTGTGCTCCTATGAGGCCAGAACAAAATGGCTAGTGTTCTTATGTGACTGCAGGGTGCAGAGAATCAAGAGCTCACTTCCCTTTTACTCCGCAGTCGCTCAGAGAGCAGCTGACGAGCGCTTCTTTAGGAGAATCACTTAAGTACTAACAGTTAAAAGGTATCTATGTGAAAGATATGACACAGAATTACACATGATACTCAAGGGGTGTGCCTGGATTTAAAAGCAAACACACACACTTTAGAGTTGACTTGTATTTATGTGTACAGATATTTGCCTGCATATACGTACATATACCACGTGTGTGCATGAAACCTGTGGAGGACAGAAGAGGGTGCCAGATGCTCAGGAAGTGGAGTTATAGATGTAAGGCTCCCATGTGGGTACTGGAAACTGATCCCGGGCATACTCTGCAAGAGCAGCCAGCAAGTAGTCCTAACCACTGAGCCACCTCTCAGCCCTCGAAGTATATCTATATCTTAATACTAAGATAGTTAAATAGGACACGGTAACATGTAAAAGTAGATCTGAAGTTCTGCTTTGTTTTGTTTTTGTTCTAATGTAAGCGGTTTGCCTCTCTACTTACTGTGTGAGTCTGGAAGATATATGGTGCATCTGTAAGCTTCAGGTTCCTTATAAACCTGGTGATTTGAAAGCCTCTCTCTCTCTGGTCCTCACATCCAGTAAGTGAGTCACCTAACAGTCAGTACTGGGAAGCAGTTTTACCTCAGTTATGTCTAGGTTCAAATTCCTTCAGTCATTAGAGAGATGCACGGCTTTGGGAAGGTGCTAAAGCTTCCTTTAAAAGGTTATTGTTTTATTCACTGTGGGTGTGCAGGCACGTGTGTGCTATGGAGTGCATGTGCAGGTTCAGGGCCGTTCTGAGGAGTGGCTTCTCTCCTACTGCCTTGTGATGAAGGGACTGAACTCACATCCTCAGGCCTGTGCACATGTGCCTCTGCCTGCCCAGTTACCAGCAGGATGCTAAAGCTTCCTAAGCTATAGTTTCCTCCTCTCAGGGTAGCGTCTACCCGCCAAAGCTGCTGTGAGGAGCAAATGAGGTCCCCACTCAGAAGAGCTGGGAATGCAGCAAGCACTGCATTCAGTCAGTGAGTTAATACAAACTATTCTGAGACTTTCCCCTTCTCAGACCAAACGGAGGAGCCAGTCGCCACTCTCCTCCACCTTTGGGGAGAATGAGCAGGGGCCCACGCTCACCTGCTTGCCCTCTATGACCATGTAGATGCATCCTGCCACGGTCAGGGCGATCATGACATAGCTGATCTTCACCCGGAGCCTGTTCTTGGCAGCATCAAGCATCTCAAACCTGATAACAGAGGGAGAAGACACCATCAACCCATTTCTTTCTGAACTTGCAGCAGGATCAAATGCTCTGCGCACCACAACTTAAAACGTGCGGTGATGTCTGTGAACAGAAAAAAGAAGCTAGGACCTGGGGACCTCACAGCACCTTACAGAAGGGGGACCAAGTTCAAAACTCTTTTGTTGCTGTGGGTGTTGTTGCTGGAGACAGGGTCTTTCTTGCTTGACAGCCCAGGCTGGCCTTGAACTCATTTTTTTTGCCTCTCAAAGCCCTGCTATGAGCTCAAGTTATAACAAAAACACAATTCAGAAAGAAAACAAACATGGAAGAGTTTGATGTGCTTTGTGTAGTCCAGTTTTTTGACCCATTTTAAAACTTGATGCAGTGTCTGAGGAGGCCAGAAGAGGGTGTTGGATTTGGATCCCCTAGGAGTGGACTTACAGAAGGTTGTATGCCACACGTGGGTTCTGGACATTGAACCTCTATTTCCACACACTGTTCTTCACCACAGAGCCATCTCTGCAGTCCTGATTACTCTGATTTTTGATATGTAGTGGGTGAAGTTAGAAGCTATGTTATCAATTCAAAGTCTTTCCATTTTTTATTAACTCATCTAAAAGTGCATTTCATAAGAAAATCCATGTTTGCTGGGAATAGTGGCATAAGCTTTTAACCCAAGCAGAGGCAGGAGGGTCTTTATGAGTTCAAGGCCAACATAGTCTACATAGCACATTTTAGGACAGCCAGGGCTATACAGAGACCCTGCCTCAAAACAAACCACCAAACCAAACCAAAGCCAACCAAAGCCAACCAAACCAAACTTTAGGCTTTATTTCAAATAACACAGGTAAATTTGTATTTTTCTCCTGCCCCTAATCTAGCTTTGTCTTGAACCAAGAATAGATTTGAGACTGCCTGAGCCAATGAATATATCTCTTAAACAATTAGTATCAATTGTTCCTTAATATTAATCTTGTCTTGAAGGTTTTGCCAAAACTGAATGGCAGTGGACTGGAGCCTGTGCTCTCTGGAATGTACCTAGAATGTAGCTATCCTTCTTTTCTTCCTGTCTCGAAGAAAAAAAAAAAGAAAAGAGAGAGAGAGAGAGAGAGAGAGAGAGAGAAAGAAAGAAAGAAAGAAAGAAAGAAAGAAAGAAAGAAAGAAAGGAAGAAAGAAAGAAAGAAAGAAAGAGTCCAGGCCTTGGCTGTCCTGTACTCACTTTATAGACCAGGCTGTCCTTGAACTCACAGTGATCCACCTGCCTCTGTCTCCCTGAGTGCTGGGATCACAGGGGTGAGTCACTGCACCCAGCTAGAATGTAGCTTTTCTAATCTGTCCAGTGACCACTGACCTATATGCCTTAACAGACAATTTCTCAGGCAAA